ATTGTTCTTGAAGTACTATTTTGTTGGCTACTTAAAGCTTCTTCAGAGTACATATGTACGTAAATAAATGTAAAAGTAACAAGTAAGAAAGTCTATAAACTGTTGGGTTCAATTTTTATTTTTGTTACTTGGTTTGCGCAAGCTTAAATTACGAATGAAAGCTAGCTTAACTGCTCCCAAATGATCAATTGTGGCAGCTGTGGCTGAGTAGCAGCGTTTCGCAAGTTGTATGTATTAAATTTTATTGGATGATAAAAGGCCATTTCGGTCAGTGAGTGGGTTACGTCATACATAAATACATATGTTGTACTTACTTTCAGTGTATATAAACATATATATATATGAAGGAGCAACAAAAAATTTAATATATATTTTTAAAAACACTGGATGTAAACACATACACTTTATTTTACAGTAGAAAAGTAAAGAATTTGGAAGCACAAATTGATGCTGCTATTGCATTACAGCTGCTACCAGTTTTTAACCCTACAAAATTTTACTCCAACCATGCATATACATATGCACGTATGTATTTATGTTCGGCTTTACAAACAAACATGCTACATATTTACACACATAAACCAGTTCCAATTATCTTGTCATAGTATCGAGTAGTAGATGTTCAAATTCTACCGCTACTGTGGATGCCTTTTAGTTTTGTGTGTCTTGGCTTTTATCGCTTCGTGCCACTCTGCTTACACATCCTTCGATTGTGCTCTTCGCTTTACGTTGGAAAATATCTGTTACTATTTTCCAAAAACTTATCAAAGTTGCTGTCGATATCTAAAAGTGATAAACTAATAAAATAATATTAATCAACCAAAAAAATAATGGAAAACAAAAAAGGCTTCTTTGAAATGTTAATGCAAGAGACTAAAATAACGGCCGATTCTCATATAACGGTAAATTTAAGAAATGCTTGAAACTTCAGTATTTCGAAATTGAAGGACGCTAATTTACTCAAAATTGATACACCTCGGCTTACCATCTAGCGGAAGGTTTCGGAAGGGTGAAAAAACATATATTTAATACTTGCGCCGGGTATTTAATGTTCGGCTCCGCCCGAACTTAGACTTTCTTACTTGTTTCAAAATAAGATTTGTGTTTAAAAGACTGATAAATTTTAAAACCTTCATGAGAAACGACTCTTAATGATATGAAATCAAATTTATTTTTTAATGACCTACAGCTGGGACTAAGCAATTTTCTATCGACTAACGAAGCAGTAATGTTGAGAAAATAGTAACTCCGAATAAATTGTAGCAATTTTTTAACACGTATCCTGGACCCTGTATTGACTCTTAATACAAGTTAATGTACCCGGGTTGAAATAATCCAATAAATACCTGAGACGGGACAAGGCAGAAAAAAAAACATAAGGTCTTGCGACGTTTAATAAAGCTGCCGTGTGAAGAAGCTCTAATTTGGTTGGCATATGCAGTTGGAAAGAGACTCAGTCGCCGTTTGTCTGTACATATTATTCTGACGCACACTTTAGTGGGAAAACGGATCGTCAAAGCATTCCCTCGTACCGAGGGAAAAAATCCGCATTTTATCAGCTGCCTGCCTTTCACATCAATTTTCGGATTTTTTGCTAGCTGGGTAGGTTCACATATGTATGTATATCTGCAAATAGATAAATCTAAGAAAAACGAACAAAAAACCCATAGACAAGCAGCTGAGATGATTTGTGTTTATTTTCCCAGTGCACGCACGTTAACACAATCAGGCGCTCAGGACTCAAGCCGAATTCGGTCTGGGTACAAATACAAATATGCGAATGTATGCACTTTTATTTATAAGCAAATGGCAGGCAGCTAAACACAAAAAAAGCACACACTGGCTCTGCTACATTTGTGGCCTCTTTCAGCCAACCATCTTGTTTACATTTCATGTGTGGGAATCTACAAAGCAAAACAGCTTTGGTCAGTTGGAAATTTATTGGCTTATTGGCAGCAATAATAATAATTGGAAAAATTGATACGTACAAAAACAGATGAATATTTTCAAATTCATACGACGTGAAGCATTTGATTAAACAAAATTTTATTGCAAAATCGTATTTTTGTATATAAGATTTTTTTTAGAGTAAAACTTATTGAGGGAAATTTAAATTTAATGTTTCTTAAATGCAGTTCAATGGTTACATCCGACTGAATTTTCACTAAAATGATGCTTGTCATAAAATTCTTTATAGTCACCATAAGATTGTGCAATAATATTGTTTTAAATAAATAGGAGTTCCTGATTCATGTATTTATCTGCGATTGTAAAATTTACGCACAAAAAAAAAATCAATACACTCGATGACCAAATATAGTGAAACTGCGTTTTTGGTTTTTCTCTCGAACCTCAGATTTTATTTAATTAAAAAGTTATTTAAAAAATTCAGTGAAATATAGAACAGCAATATGGGTAACAAATAAAAGCGAAAATACTATAAAATAAGAAAAAATGAATTTATTTGGTGCACAGGGACGAATTGGTAGTAAAAACTTATATTTAAAATTGTACCTATCCTTAAGTATCCTTGAAAAATTCCAATATTCATTTTCGAAAAAATTTTACGTTAAGGAATTTCGACCTTCTAAACTTGTAAGTTGAGGAGAAAAAATGTATTTTGATAAAAGACCAAAATGAACCAAAATTATTATATTTTTTTTTTAAATTCCACAAAATTCTTTTTTCATTTTGTACTCATATTGTTATTTTGCACTTCACTGCATTTTAAAAATAATTTTTTGAAATAAGCATATCTCTAAAATTTCCAAGTCCTTTTAAAAAAATCCTGCCGTCAGAGAGTAAAAACTAAAAATGCAGCTTTACTATATTAGACCCCTAGTTTCTTGCGCTTATTGATTGCTTCGTTTATTTTGAAATTTAATTTTAAGGAAATAGATACACTTCTTCAAGGCCAAAGACCTCGAGACGAATTGTTTTCCCTACTAAACCCACCGCATGACTTTTAACGTTTTCTACCGGGTCTCTTACAAGGTCCTTTGCTGTGCGAAAACAGTATCTAGCTGCACATGCTTTCTTATCCTATTTGTGTAAAAATCTTTTCGTGTCCTTTTCGATTACTGCTAACGTTTCGTATGAAAGGCGTTGGCTTACTTCCCCTCTACGTTTTGCAATCCATTTGTTGAGTCGTGAAGGAGTTTGCTTCTTTTTTCTTGTAGCGTTCGTGTCTATTTTATATTGCGTTGAAAGTCTGTTATTCTAACATAAATATATGTACATATGTACTCTCTTTTTACCTCCGCTTGCTTTGTTTATATTTCTCATTTGCTGTATTTTTCTACAACTGTTTGTATGTAGTATTAGTGCTGCTTCTTTTGTGCATGTATAACATTTATGTTTGGAAATTGCCTGCAGCAGCGCCAGTAATGACTCTGGTGATAACCATAAAAAGCGCATTATGGAAGTGCAAATTGTGACACGATGGTCAACGTCATAGTACAGGGTGCACATATGCACATACATACATGCGCTTACGTGGGTGAATGTCGGTTTGTCTCCTTTGTTAGGTTGTGCAGTGTTCCGCAGAGATCGCGTTGATGCTGATAACAAGCGAGTGCTGCCATATAAAATTTTATTGGTTATTATCGACAAATTCGTGTCAAAATTTATGTACTTAAGTTGATAAGTATGTCTGCGTGCAAGTCATTTTAAATTTTATGAAGTTGAATCAACGACTGGTTGGAGTAAAAACACCAACGCGAAAAGTGCGAATCAATTGTTGTCGGATAAAAGGGGATTCTGTCAACTTTTTTTTACCGATTTTATTCACAGTTGACTACAGGAAATTTTGGTAGTAATTCTATGATATAAAAAATACGGGTTTAAATAGTATTAAATATTGAAGATATGTTTAAAAAAAGATTATATATTTGATCGAAATAAAAAAAATGTGGAAAAGACAACTAAGATCGAAAAAGATCGAAATTGGCGTATCTTAAGTAAAACAATGAGACTTGAACTTATGTAGTGTGCTTTACAACGACGACATAGATTTAGAGAGCAAATGGCAGGTTCATCCTTCTTATGATTAAACAGAGCACATTATCGCACCCACGGGGATAGGGGGGAGGATTAGGTGCGTTGAAATACATACAAAGTAAAGCTAATTAAAGAGTTGGCAACATATTAAAATCAACAAATATTTTTAAAATTGATTTGAAAATTAAGCATCCTTTTTGACATTTTACCCGTAAATTTCGCGATATTTTAAATTAATATTTTTTCAACGGTTTAAAATTTTTACCTTACAAAATTCTTTCGAGTGTATTAAAGTCCGAAATTTCTGGGAGCCACATGTGTTAAATCTGTTGTGTGCTTCTGACAATTTACCTCCTAATAAATGCAAAAGAAAATCAAACGCTTTCCAGCAGTTATTTTCGTGGTATAAATAAATTTATCGATTCTTTATCTCAAATGAATTACTAAATAGAAGGTGAGATTATTACTTTCAGCTCGGATTTACAGTACAACATAAATTCTCTTAATATCTATTGATTTATTTTGACCAAAACATTGATTGATGCTAATGGGTTGAATTTAATTGAACTATTTTGTTTTGTACCAAATATGTAATATTTCATTTAATTTTTCACTATTTTCGGTCTTAACTTTTAGGTAAGTGATAAACCTATTGACAATATTTCTAATTCGAGATGTCGTTTGATATCCATATTGCAATATTTTAAGTATTTTATCAACTTAATTGAGTTAAAAATATTCAAAAAGGTTGCACCCTTCCTCGAAATTATTTTTGCCTGTAAGCCTTCTTAAACAATTTTGGCTTGATACACATATTGTAATATTTCATTTATTTTATTAGTTTAGGTAATCCTAAACTCTCAAACAGATGGCCACCCTCCAACCTTTTTTGTTGGGAATGATCCTGATATTATACCGAACCATAAAAAAAAATCATTAAAATCGGTGTATTAGTTCTCGAGCTTTAAAGCCTCGTACAAAAGAAGATAAGACAAGATGAGTGCAATTTAAATTTATGATTGTGACGAATGCATCTTTTTTAATAAGAAAATTCTACAAAGAAAAGCAGGTTAACCCATACAAATCAATCGTTCTGCTTAAAATGTCAGCTACAATTCTCAATTTATACGAAATTATTTTTTGATTTACTACATGACAATATTCATTTTGGCCTTAAACCTCCTCACTGTTATGTGTGTACCTACGTGTTCAATTGCTGTCTTTGATCGTCTCTTCAGACTACGCTCCTGAGCCTGCTGGCGGCTCGAATTACAGCAACAGTGTTCGGACTACCGAAACTGTACTCAGTAGTAAAGCATTTAGTAACATCGGAGTAAAACCTAAATCGTAGATTAACTGTATAAAATGGCCAACAGAGGGCCAAACCATGTGGGGAGAACGGAGCTGGTTTTAAGACAAGGGGAAGAGAAGAGTAGTATAATAATAATATAATATTTTGGCGCTCACACTTTTGCTAAGTGTTTGGCCGAGCTCCTCCTCCAGTTTAGGTTCTATACCCATGGCCTACGGAGTGGTAATATGCACCAGAGTCACAGTGCGAAAAGTGGAGTAGCTATTAAAATTTTCCAAAAACCGTAGTAAATCTATACCGATCGGAGTAAAGTCCGAAGGCTGTACAGCAATAACCATCTTGAGAGTACGGCTGCGGATGGTGAAGATTTTCTTTACATCCACTTACTTACGTTTCATATATCGTCACCTGAAATGCAAAAAGATGTAAAAACATCGCAACTGAAATTGAAAAAGGCGTGATTAATA